GTGATATATTGTGCTACCTTTGTGTTATGCTCTTGCTTAGATGTTAGTCTTACTCTTGCAAGATCATGCCTTGTCTCTAAAATATAGCGGGAGTGTTGATCCTAGTTTGTGTGCTATGAAGTCCAAAGCATCCATCTAGATTGCACACATCTAGGGGGAGCCCGTCTATATTCTAGAGAGGAGGAGTTTGCCTCTGCTCTATATTATCTCCTTTTTGTGCAAATCCCGTATTGTCATCAATCCACCAAAAAGGGGGAGATTGTAAGCGCATATTTATCCCTAAGGTGTTTTGGTGATTGATGACAATGCTTTTGCGGACTAATCGTGTGCCTTGAGTTTCTCAGACGCTTCATCGCTAGGCACAAGACGGTTCGATGCCCCTCGAAGACTATTGAAGACGGCGTTGTTCTACATTTCTTTTTGGTGGATTTGAATCGTAGGAGAGCCGTACTATTAAGAGGGGGTCCGCATCGGAAAGGTTCGGGTGGAATCATCACGTACACGCTTCCTTCATTGTCTCCACCTTTCCCTTGCACTTTGGAGCATCCCCCGTCTATCCTCTGTGCATTTGTCCTGGCTGATGCTGCTGAGCTTGCGGTAGTACTGCTCCCTGGAGAGGTAGTACCGCAGGCACCTGCGGTAGTACCGTGCCACGATGCGGTAGTACCGCGGGAGCCCACGGTAGTACCGCTCCTTTGGAGCTGTAGTACCGTGGCTCCCAGGCCAAGTGCCGCTGCTTCACGGTAGTAGGGGTGGATGTAATTTTTTACATCCGCGCCTCCGCGGTAGTACCGCACCTCATGCGCGGTAGTACCGTGCTCGGCCTGCCAAGTGCCGCTGCTTAACGGTAGTAGGGGCGGATGTAATTTTTTACATCCGCGCCTCCGCGGTAGTACCGCGCGTGGCCTGTTTTAGCTGCCATGCGGTAGTACCGCTCCCCAGCAGTAGTACCATGTCGGACTGTTGCACTGTTTCTTTTCCAGCAGAAGTAGGCACAGATGTATTTTTATTCATCCGCGCCCTTTGTAGGCTAGGACTTTCCTGCCTTGCGGTAGTACCGCAAGGGGGAGCGGTAGTACCGCGCTCGCGGAAGTACTACTCTTAGTCAGGCATGTTCTAGTCTCTGCTACTACCGCGGAAGTACCGTGGTCCCTCACGGTAGTACCGCGTGGCCTTGCGGTAGTACCGCGTTCCTGGAGCGGTAGTACCGCATGTCGCAGGCTGGATATGTGGACAACGGTTGGATCTTTTCCATAGCTATAAAAGGGGTGTCTCCTACCTCTAGTTGACCACCTCTTCCATCTCTAAGCTCCATTGTTGCTCCAAGCTCCATTTTCGCCCGATCTCTCTCCCTAGCCAATCAAACTTGTTGATTTGCTCGGGATTGGTTGAGAAGGCCTCGATCTACACTTCCACCAAGAGAAATTTGATTCCCCACACACATCCCTAGCGTATCTTGTTACTCTTGGGTGTTTGTGCACCCTAGACGGTTGAGGTCACCTCGGAGCCATAGTCCATTGTGGTGAAGCTTCGTGGTGTCGTTGGGAGCCTCCAATTAAGTTGTGGAGATTGCCCCAACCTTGTTTGTAAAGGTTCGGTCGCCGCCTTCAAGGGCACCAATAGTGGAATCACGACATCTCGCATTGTGTGAGGGCGTGAGGAGAATACGGTGGCCCTAGTGGCTTCTTGGGGAGCATTGTGCCTCCACACCGCTCTAACGGAGACGTACTTCCCCTCAAAAGGAAGGAACTTCGGTAACACATCCTCGTCTCCATCGGCTCCACTCTTGGTTATCTCGTGCCTTTACTTTTGCAAGCTTACTTGTGTTGTATCCCTTGCATGCTTGTGTGCTTGTTGTTGTTGCATCATATAGGTTGTTCACCTAGTTGCATATCTAGATAACCTACTTTGATGCAAAGTTTAATTTGGTAAAGAAAAGCTAAAAATTGTTAGTTGCCTATTCACCCCCCCCTCTAGTCAACTATATCAATCCTTTCACGGGCAATGGCAATGGATGAGCTCGTCCGCAATGGCATTTTGCCAGGGTCCAGGCTGGCCATGGGTGTGCGGCACAATGCGAAGCATCACGAGGAGGGGGGGCAAATGAGGCTTCGGGCCAGCTGTGGGTGCTGGGCCAAGGGTGGTCCGTGTGCACAGTAGTTGGGACGACGACAACGGTGATGAACTTGGGGATGAAGCAAGCGATGGGGATGGTTCTAGAGGGGTTGGGTCTTGCTGCTAGAGGCATTGTGAAGCTAGAGGACACAATGGGGGTGGCTAGGGACGACTGTAGGTGCTCTACATTGGGCACAAAGCGCCAAATGGGCATGCCAGGGTGGTGGTCACCACTGGCATGGCATCGCTGGCTTTGTCTTGCCAGACCATGTCTGGTGTTGTTCAGTGTATCTAGGGTCTGTGTGTTCAATAGTGGAGTCCTGGGGTGGATCAAATTGACTGGAACATCCAAGATGTGTTCTCACAACAAGGTTTTTGTAACGGGCCATTTAAAATTGGTGTGGTGACCAAAGCTCAATTGTATTGTGGGGTTGTTTGGTATGATGATGAATGTGTATGCAAAATTTGTGGCCATATGGATGAGCGTAGGTGGTGCTTCATGTCTAAGCTGAATTTTTGGCCAAAAACTTTGGGAGTTTGGTGTGGTGGAATTTGATGATTTTTGGGTGGCAGTGGTGTTTTGTCATGGTTGATAACCATGACAAATTTGAGAGAAAATGGATGAGTGCGAAATATACTTCCTTCACAAGGTGGGTATGTGGATGCAAGCTTTGGAAAATTATGGAGGGAGTTATGGTGGTTGGGTAATGATCAAAATTTATGGATAGGTTTTATGTGTATACATGATGGTCCGTGAATTTTTTTAGCTTCATAGGGTGAGGGCACAATGCACTTGCTTCATAGGTCAACAGATTTGGCAGAAACTCTGGATGGATGCTCTGGTCAAAATTTAACTTAAGTGTGTGGCTTTTTTGATGGAAATGAAGAGATTTGTAGGACCTTACAAATATTTTGGGGATTTGTGCTGCAAGTGAGAATGGGTGTCCAGTGCAAAGGTGGTCTTTAGGGTTTAAATAAAAAATGAAAACTAGGGTTTTGGAGGCTAAAGCCTAAGTCAAAGTAACCAGGAAATTTACTTATCCTCACATAAACACAAGGGTGCTAATAAATCCAAGAACACCAAAAGAAAAGGATAGAAGCCAAATCTAGAAAAAGAATTTTCGAGGAGTGAAAAATCTAGGGTGTTACATAAGCACACGGTTGAAGGCATGGTGGCACCAAGTGGACAACCTAACAAATAGGAACAACCACTTGGATCATACCAAGCTTTGTTCGTGCTAGTCGCACTCAGAGACGACCTCCGTGCCACAAAGGCCAAACACAATGACGCTGAAACCATCCTTATCCATGAAGAACCTTGAAGATGAGGACATGCATGATCCTGAAATGACAAGTAAAGCTGGAACCAGCGTTAAGAACACAAGGAATCGCGCGCACGGGGACAATCAGACCTAAAAAGCCCAAATGTAGAAAACCTCAAGGGAGAAGGAAGATAACAGAAGGAGCAACGGAGCGGAGAAGCATCCATCCTCCAACAATAGCAAGCGGGCCTAAGAACAAACAAAAACGAAGAACAAAGAACCACCAAGAGGAGAGAAAAGAAAAAGGACGACGAGCGAGAAGAAGAGGCGCAAAGGAAACCAAATGCAACAAACACCTAGAAAAGAGGGAGAAAACATCACGAGCATCGTAGTGAAGAAGCAACCCACCTCGAACATCACCAACGTCAATAGAAGGCACGAAAAGCCAACGGGCGCCGGACGCCGCCGATGGTGAACAAAGCACCAACACAGAGAAAGCTTGAAGAAGCCCTCGCAGTATGAAAAGAGAACGGTGTGAGGGGCAAGTAGGGTAGAAGAAGACCACCATCCATTATATACCAAGAACAACCCCACGCACCACAACAAACCGACATACCACAAATCGAGCACCCACCCGCCAACGCCCACCAACCCAAGACATACCGGGACGAGGGCAACGGGGCATCCCGAGCGAGTAATAAACCTGAGTAAGGGAACCGAACAACCGGGTGGCTAGGCCGCCGAGCAAGCGCCTCTCGACCATGCGAGACAGCTCGTGCGATGCGAGGCCAACACAGAGAGCTGTCTGGCATGCACGCACAGTCGGCTGGGCAACTGAACAGTTGGATGGGCAAAGAGCCCGAGCAGGCACCTCTTGAACGCCTGAGGTGACATGCACGCTGTGAGGCCAAGGCCACTGAGCCGTCCGGGACGCGCACGCATAGCCGGGCATGCCCCACGCATGAGCCTCACACGACCAAAGCAGCCCGATAGGGTGCAAATGACGTTGTCCCTACCGAGTACGCGTGGGCATACCGGTCTGGCTCAGTGAACTACCCGGCGGGGGCCAACGATGCTGACTAGCAAAAACATCTCATAATCAAGTCATTAGAGGTACAATTATCTTCAAGCTCAATCTAAAGGACAACCAAGGGCATTTTGATCATTTCAGCATGTTTCAGCAGCCGCCGCAGCTGTAGCAGCCCAACTGTAAAACGACTGCATTTGGACTCCAACCTTAACCACAGCTTGCAAGAGCATTAGCTGGAATCTCAATCAGTGACATCCCCCAGTAGCCCACTGTAGCGTGAGAGTGGTACCCAACCTCCTCTCCTGGTACTTCCACTTTCACGAACAGCAACGGTCGGGGACCAGCTCGCTGGACCCTGCCAGGCAGACCCGGAAAGATTTGAATCCCCTCCGCTGCTCTGTCCACTCTCTCATCAAGGCTCCACACTCCTTTCTTTCTATTGGACTGGGACCCTCCTTAATCATCCACCCCATCCTTTCCTTTAGTTTGAACCAACGCTCCACCTCAGACACTGGCCACCGTCTCGACTCGCGCATCCCACCTAACGCCGCCCGCGGACTGGGAGCTGCCGCCGCGGCGGAGCAGGGGACTCGATGGGATTCGACGGACTGGTCGTCGTGTCCGACCCTTACCTGCAGCGCCGCTTCACGCAGGCGGACCTCCGCGCGCTCCAGGCACAGGTACGCGCGCGCTCTCTGCCCTTCATCTTCCTTCGCGCTGGCGGTGGTGTTTGTGACTGCGTTTTTCGATCTTGTTCGGCAGTACGCGGGGCTGCGGGACACGGCGCCCACCGGCAGGCTGCGGCTGCGGGACCTCCCCGCCGCGCTGACCGGCCTGGGGAGCCCCACCGCTATAGCCGCCGGTAAAGGGGAAGCGCTGCGCGGGGACGCCGGGAAAGAGAACAGCTCGCCGCCAGAGCCGGCGCTCACGGACGAGGAGTGGTCCTCCGTGCTCACGGCTGTCTCCCGCGCCGACGAGAAACCGCAGCTCGACGTCAACTTTGAGCTCTTCCTGCGCGTCTATGCCGAGATGCAGCTGCGGATCAAGGGCGGGAAGAAGGCGCGCGAGCGCGACGGCGGCCAAGGCATTAAGCGCTCCTCCTCCTCGTCTGCCGCCTTCCTCACGGCGTCCACCACCACGCTGCTGCACACCATCAGCGAATCTGAGAAGGCTTCCTACGTGGGCCACATCAATGCCTACCTCGCCGAGGATCCGTTCCTCAAGAACGCGCTGCCCGTCGATCCGGCCACCGACCAGCTCTTCCACCTCACTAAAGACGGCGTGTTGCTATGGTGTGCTCCTGATTTGTGCTTTCGATCCACTGATTATATTATTATTTTTGCTCTGATCTGGTTCCAATCCTTTTCGGCTTTTTGGTCCAGTAAGCTCATCAACTTGGCCGTGCCGGGGACCATCGACGAGCGTGCTATCAACACCAAGAGGCTGCTTAACTTGTGGGAGAAAAACGAGAACCACACCCTCTGTCTCAACTCTGCCAAGGCCATCGGCTGCACTGTTGTCAATATCGGCACGCAGGATCTCGCAGAGGGGAGGGTAGGACTCTCCCTGTTTCTATTTTTCTTGCTTTTTTGTGACATCGTCGCATTACATGATATTCAGAGTAAAGGTGACTTTCAGTCCGTTCTTTTTACTTGGGTACTTGTTCATTCGGATGTTGTTGAGGGACACAGTGGAGTTAAGTCCATGTGATGTACACGACCGTAAAGCACCCGGTGTTGGTTCTCTCTACTTTTGTTGCTTTATACATGCGCTTACTGGTGGTTATCATTGGAACACGATGGAACAATCATTTATATATCAAAAAAGTGGCGAGGGGTAACCCATGGTTGATTTGATTGCTCCTGTGCCCTTTTGTTATGACTGACAAGATAGTATAAATTTGCGGCAAACTTACTGTGAAAGAATAAATCAAGTTCAGTCCGTGTCACACTGATAATTTGGCACACATGACATGCTTCATGTCCTCCAGTGCACCACTACATTCTACTTCAGGATACAGAAATACTTGGCATACCTCTGTGTTCTTATTTATTGCCATTGAACTTATTTATACTACGTTTCTATACCCCAGTGCATCATCTACGTTTGTTTGTTCAGATCTAAGCTCTGGTTCTAGCATGTATTTTTCATTTGTAGTTTTATCTTTTCACTCTTTTTTTACATGAAGAATTCTTGTATAATGAGCTTATCAAAGCTTTCTCTTACTGCTTGCAGCCTCATCTTATCCTAGGGCTGATATCTCAGATTATCAAGGTAACTTCATATCTATGTTACATTTGTCTATTTGTGTGGGCAACATTGTGTCTGTTTTATGTATGATACTATCTGTGATAACGTGTTGTTACAATGACTACCAGATACAACTATTGGCAGATGTAAACCTGAAGCGCACACCTCAGTTGGTCGAATTGGTTCAAGACAGCCAGGTAGTCCTAATTTCAGTTCATTATAATGAACTTTGGAGACTATTTCGTATGCGTAATATGCTAGTGAGAGTAACACACTGTCAATGGTTTCATGTAAAATTGCAGGAGATGGAGGAGCTTATGAGCCTTTCTCCTGAAAAAATACTACTAAGGTGGATGAACTTTCAGCTGAAGAAAGGAGGTTTCCAGAGAACAGTAACAAATTTTTCATCGGATATAAAAGTATGCTCATGTTAGCTGCTAGACCCCTTACACGTTTAAATATTTAACACATAAATGCAATTTCACAAGCTGTGCTACATATGTTCCAAAAACTATACAACTGAGCTATTTAACTTCTCTTTCAACTAAGTTCTTATGGTTTTAATAATCACCATAACTTTCAAATACTTTTGCCCCTTCACCATTGATCTCGTTTTCGATTCTTGACTTGAAATTCTATCTGGTCAAGGGGAGTATACAGTAAGAATGTTAATAAATGATGAAGATCAATCCATCTATCATGTTTTTTAGTTCGAACTGCGGTCCTGTATGAGGAATTAATATTTATTTACCTTGGTCACATGAAAACCCAGGACAGTGAGGCATACGCTTGCTTGTTAAATGTCCTGGCTCCAGAATGCAGTGCTAAACCATCGCCAATGTCAGTAAAAGATCTTCTTCATAGAGCAAGATTAGTTCTTGAGCATGCGGATAGGATGGGCTGCAAAAGATATCTGGCCCCGAAAGACATAGTTGCTGGTTTACAAAATCTAAATCTCGCCTTTGTGGCTCATATCTTTCAAAAAAGGTATGTATTATGGGCACCCCTTCAGCTCAGAATTTATATACTTAAGGTACAGTTTGCTGAAGAACTCACATTTCCATTGATGTTTATCACATTGGGATACCGAAGACCAATTTTTTTTCTAATAACTGCTGTTAGCATGTGATAGTTCTTCATCCTATAGATTTGCTTTTATTTAGTCCTTGCTATCTGCTACTGTTCTTGGTAACATACTATGACATTTACTTAAAAAACAACATCTTGTGCAAACTGGTAGCATTATGTTGTTAATGTTCTCTCACCTGTCCACCACTAGTTCCCAGGAAAACTCTCAACTCTGAAGTTTTCCTTTTATTGCTGAGAATGAAGGTGAAGCAATGTTTGTAGGGAACAGTCAGACATCAGAAGACAATAGAACCACTTTTTATTTTTATTTTTCTCGTTGATTGAACTATGTGTGCTCCTACAAATAAGAGATTGTTTTATTACCATTCACATGACATAATATTTTGTGCATGAGAATGAGACCCGCACAAAGATTTCGAGAGAAGAGCCCGTTTGCTTGCAGAAGTTTCCGTAGCACAGAAAAGGATTGCGAAGAATCAATATACAGTCGTCCTTGTGCAAGACAACTGAGCAAGCTGAGCATGGCAAACATTGTAACTAGATAATGTACAAATATTCCTGGCCAGTAAAACCATATGTAGTACCCCGTCGCCGCTGTAGATGTGCTATTATTATGGGCCTATTCAGCAAATACTTTCGTCAGATCTCTTAACTAGGGAGCAGCATTGGTTACCAGTACTACAGCTAGATACACATGATACAGAAGCCTAAATGAAAATCTGATGCTTGTACTTGGTAGTGCACTGTTTTGACAGTCTAAACTCTATAATTGTAGTCCTTTTATTGCAGGAATGGGTTGTCGAAACAAATGAAACAAGTTTCGTTTGTGGATGGAGTATCTGATGATGCTCAAGTTTCAAGGGAAGAGAGGTCATTTAGGCTATGGATTAACAGCCTTGGAATTTCTACATATATAAACAATGTATTCGAAGATCTTAGAAATGGGTAGGCCATACCTCTCATCGTCTATATCTAACTCTTCTGTTAAAATGAAGCTGATTCTATCTTTCATATTTCCTTGTGGGACGATAGATGGGTGCTCCTTGAGGTCATGGATAAGGTTGCTCCTGGTTCAGTTAATTGGAAGTTTGCAAACCGACCCCCAATAGAACTTCCATTCAGAAAAGTTGAAAACTGTAATCAAGTTCTGAAGATAGGAAAGGAAATAAAATTTTCCTTGGTGAATATTGCTGGTCATGATATTGTGCAAGGAAACAAGAAATTGATATTAGGTAAGTGGTTTTTTCATTCAGTTGCAAATAATAAAATGTACTTAAATTTTGCACATAACTAGGAGGTGAGCAAATGTACTTAGATGTAACATACCAATTGGGCCATTATTTATACAAATAATCATGCCTTCAGAGATTAGTAAATTTATAATAATCAACTAGATATTCATGATATGTGTTAGTTTTTGGTTGATTAACTGGTTTTGCTGAACAGAAATTTCAAAATATCAATGTACCATTGTTGTTTTGTACAATTCTTTTGCACGCACAATATTCCATTTAACTTTCCAGTTGATCATACGATGACAAGGCACACTTCTCCCCCCCCCCCCTCCCTCCCTGACAGCTTTTCTCTGGCAATTGATGCGGTACAACATACTACAACTGCTGAAGAATCTTAGATTTCATTCGAATGGGAAGGAGATCACAGATAATGACATACTATTATGGGCTAACAAAAAGGTCAAGGATTCTGGAAGACAGTCTCAAATAGGAAGTTTCAAGGTTTGTATACTTCAATGTATTTTATTAATGCACATCATGCTTTGAAAATATCGTATCATTTTACAGTCTGCCAAGTTGCTTTATGTGAGTTTCCTGCAGAATATTCTTCATTACAACGATCTCGTTGTATAATTTACAGATACAAATATGCACTCATAATATATACATATTCTAATCAGGACAGTCAATTGAATTATGTGCTTGGGATGAGTTACAGTTTGTTCTTAAAGTAGTATGAAGGCATGAACTAAATTGCCGCATGCACTTATGCTATCTTGTCTAAGTTAGGTTCCATCATAAATCCAGAATAATCTCGAGAGTGGAGTTTTGGAGTTTCTCGAAAATTTTGAAGTATTTTTTTTTTAAAAATGCACATGAACATAGAGATGTATACTAGATTCCTGTAAAATTTCATGATGAAATAAGCTTTGGTGTGAGCTGCACAAAAAAAAAGACTTTTATAGTGAATAGTTCATGTGGTAGAAATACATGATTTTTTTGTGTAAATCTTATCATCATGAAAATTTACAGAAATGTAGTATACATCCCTAGGTTCATGTGTAGTTTTTTCAGATTTTTTTGAAACTTGAAAATACAATTTTTGATTTTTTTCAAAAAAAGAGCTCCAACATGCATTTCCGAATAATCTCTTACTATTCACTTATGCTATATTTCTAACTTAGGTTCTATCGTAAATCCAGAATAAACTACTACTCCCTCCGTTCAGTATTATAAGATGTTCGGATGTATGTAGACATGTTATTATGTGTTTGTTCACTCATTTCAGTCTGTATGTAGTCCATATTGAAATATCCAAAACGTCTTATAATTCGGATTGATGATAGACCATCTTATAATTTGGAACAGAGGGAGTACATTTCAATAATGTAACTGTGAAGTGTAATAATGCTAGTCTGAAGGGCCACTATTTGCATGAGGAACTACTGTCACTATCACTTCTAACAATATGTCAAGCATCAGTGTCCATATCGCTGTATCTTCCCCTAATTTGCTGTTCAGGGTTTGTACGATAAACCACAAGTACTAATTGCAGGATAGAAGCCTTTCAAGTGGCATATTTTTTGTCAACTTACTAAGTGTTGTGGAGCCTCGCGTTGTGAATTGGAGCCTTGTAACCAAAGGAGAAAAAGGTTGGATGTCTCATGTCTCTATGAGTCCGAAAATCTCCTATCCAATTTTCAATTAAGAAATGCTAGTGCATAGAAATTCAGTATGTCTTGTTTTATTATGAAAGTATATACCATTTCCCTTGTATTATATCCTCATAGTGATAGGCAACACATTATAGACACACTTAATTATATCGCCAGTGTTATTTGCAGATCACTAGATTTACTAGTACTGTGTATGCTTTTCAGAGCTTGTTAACTAAAATTTTATATGGTTTCGGCACAGATGAAGAAAAACAAATGAATGCTTCCTACATCATCTCTGTTGCTAGAAAGCTTGGTTGCTCCATCTTCTTGCTGCCAGAGGATGTAATGGAGGTGAGGCATTTGATTGAATTCTTGGAAGCCAAAACTAGTTTCATACAGTTACTTGCAGATTAAGTTTGTGAATGTTTATTACTCCCTCCGACCCTGAATCATCAGCTGTAAGTAAGCTGAATTACACCAAGTAAGCTGAATTACACCAATGTTGGGAGTTAAGCATATATTGCATTTTTTAAAGAAAAAACTAGAAACTAGATCATTTTGGTGGTGTGATGCCCCGCTTGATAGTCTATCCGAGCAGCCTCAAGTAGTGGACCATGTTGGACCATATTCTCTTGTGATATCAACTAATTAACATTTGCAATATGATTTTGGCAATTTGTCTCAGGTCAACCAGAAGATGATGCTGACTTTGACAGCAAGCATCATGTATTGGCATTTGAAAAGGCCAACATCATATTCAGTGGACCCTGACAACAGTAGTTTGTGTGAGACAAGTTCTATCTCAACTTCAGATGACTCAGCATCTGAATCATCAATTGATGATAGCGGAACTAGATAGATGAAATTGCATGGTCTGACTGCTATTTCAGGACTCGAGATTCTATATTCTTGATTCTTTGCTATAAATTGGAGAGCAGACGCATTCAAGAATGAAGGGGAGAATGGTGAAAGAGTTTTGTTTGTTTCATTTGAGGTTCTGTAGTGTGCAAATTGATTTGGTGAGTAATGTACAACATCCTGTAAATATTGACACAGGTAGCAAGTATATGTAACATCATATAGTGGCAGTTGTTTATTCAAAATCCAACCACACTGATTAGTTTGTTGAGCAATTTTGCTCAGGCGACGTCGATGACTCATGTAGTAATTTTTGGCAATGATTTAAATTGCTATGTCACTTTGTGTTGCTATCCTAGCTACAACCATTATAGCGCCAAATAACTGCGCTATTTTGGCATGGCTTGCTACCAGCTATAGCTGAAGCTATTACCTAATTAGTGTACAACGACAGAAAATAGCATGCAATCATTTATACATGTAAATTTAATCCAAAATGATCACATATGTGTAACTAAATAACATTAGAAAACAACACCCAATCTTCCTTGGGAGATTGTTTTACCTTGGAGCTTTGGCCTACTGGCGACTCTCACCAATACTCATTATGACTCAATTTGGAAATAAAATAAATCACCTACTCATATGTTAATTAGTTAAATGGATTCTCTTTATTCCTTACTTTGCTAGTGTTTTTTTGTAAGGATTTTTTTCTGCTTCTTACATTGTAAATAGCTTCCATGGTAGATCGCGATAGTTAACATGGCTATAGTTCAGACCTCCCTGCGATGTCGCATAAAAGCTATTTAAAACCTGGATTTTGGAGAGAACCTTAAAATGAGTTTGTAGGGCTGAAGCCCATCCTCTCGTCCCGCCACGAGAACAACACTGACAACCTGTGGATAAAAGGTTCCTCAGACTTTGGGTGTCACCAAGACCGGTGGTGCGGTGAGATATCTCTTCATTTCTTGCAGTGCTTGCTCGGCCTTGGGTGTCCAATTGAATGGCCTAGATCTTTTGAGAAGCTTCATGCGCATTCTGCGCAAGATGTCAAACGTCTTTGCCACATCTTCAAGGAGGGTAGACTTGTTCCTTGTTTCACACTGAGATCGTCAATGTAGGCCTCCATGTTGCGGTCTACCACTGAATTCAGCGTGATGCACATCGCTTGCTGGTAAATGGGGCCGGCATTATTCATGCCGAAAGGCATGCAAATGTAGCAGAACGTCCCCACTAGGTTTCGGCATGCAAATGTAGTAGAACGTCCCCACTGGGGTGATGGATGTTATTTTTTCTTCGTCCTATTTTGCCATGCAAATTTGTTGGTAACCTGAATACACATCCAAAAAGCACAACACATCACACTAGAATCAGTGATCTGATCTATGTGGGGAAGAGGATACGGATCGTTGGGGCACGCCTGATTGAGGTCGCTGAAGTCAATGCACATCCGCATTTTCCCATTTGCTTTAGGAACACCACAAGATTGGTGATCTAGTCAGGATGGATTACTTCCGGGATAAAGCTGACTTTCTGAAGCTGCTCTACTTGATCTCATATAAATTGTTGTTGCTTGGGTGCCTGGCGATGTACCTTTTGCTTGATTGATCATGCACATGGAACACAAAAAAGTGGTGTTCGATCACCTCCCTCGTGACCCTAGGCATATTCGCTGGTTGCCATGTAAATATGTCGTCATTTGCCCGAAGGAAGGCGACGAGGGCGCGCCATCGTTGATGGGCGTGATGGCTGCCGCATGCAGCCTTTTGGCACAGAACACGACATTCAGGAACAGTCCCCATGGTGAGATAAGCATAATGCGAGGCCACCATGAATTTGGCAAGCGCTAGGCATCCAAGCATTACTTTTTACGGGATCAAACTCGACCACAACAAAGTCGATGGCCTAAGTCTGAAAGTTATTGGAGTTGCCTGCTCGAGGGGCATGGAATGATCGGGTGTAACGCCGAGAAAAGGTTGCGTCGGGCGGAGACGCTCGAGCGGGATCTGCATCTTCTTCAGACACGTGGCCCCGTCCAACAGCATCTTTCTCACCGGGATGTTGGCGACCGTGTGGGAGAACACAAATGGGAGCTTCTTGATCGATGATGTGCTTGGTGTTGTCAAACTAGATAGGGACATCTAACCACATAAGCGGTCGCGAGGACCCGACCCCTGGGTGACGGAGTCGAATCCAAAAAATTGCGGGTAGGTGGTCCCGAGCTAGTAGTCTTGACACGATGGTAACCGGGGAACGGGTTTTTATCTAGGTTTGGGTTCTCCTTATTTAACCCTACGTCTTGCTTGGTTTGTATTGATTTGAGATGGAGTACAAAAGTATAAGTGATCTACTACAAGATCGTTGTGTGTCTAGATGATCTAATGATCTAAGTTGTGAGATGATCTATTGAGTAGTCTGGTCTTGGCTTATATAAGTTACTAGAGGCCTAGGATTACAAGAGTCCTAGTCGATTACGTCGGTGGAGATTAGTCCTCCACGAATATAGTCCTTGTCTTGAATGACAGGGCTTCTTGATTTCTTTGTAGATCGCCATGGGCCACCCAAAGTGGCCTAATACATCTCAAACATATCTATAATTTTTTATTATTTTATGCTATTATAATATCACTTTTATATACTTTTTACAGTATTCTAATATTATTTTCTAGGCTAACCTACTAATATAGTGCCTAGTGCTAGTTGTTGTTTTCTGCATGTTTTTTATTTTACGGAAAATCAATATCTATGGAGGTTAAAAAAACCCTGACGATGTAATACAACTTTTTGGGGCACGAAGGTTCTAAAAAGAACTTGAGGGAAACGAGAGGAGCAACAGGGGCCCCACATGGCCATCTTGAGGGGCCAGGTCCTAGGTCATGTGGGCCCCACCTACACCACCTATGTCCATTCCATTGCCTATAATTTCTATAAACACCGAATCCTTCGTAAGATTTTTATCCGAATTTTCTGCTGTTGCAAGCGTCTCTTCCGAGGAGCTCCAATCTAAAGGCCTGTTCCAGTACTCTGTCAGAGGGGGAATCCATTGTCGGAGGCTTCTTCATCAACCTTTCGGTCTCCATGACCATGTGTGAGTAGTTCCCTTAGGACCTTAGGGTCCATAGCAGTAGTTAGACGTCTCTCTCTCTCTCTCTCTCTCTCTCTCTCTCTGATCTTCAATACCATGTTTCGAGAGCTGCCTAACACGATCATGATCCATCTGATGTAATTTATGGATTTTTTTGTTAGGATATGATGAATTGTCACTTTATGATAAGATTTTTCATTGAATTCAATTAAATATCTTGAGGTTTTCTTGCTGTATAATTGAATAGATTTGTATGTTCTCTCATCTATCTATGTTCTTTGTCCAAGTTTGATGGGTTTATTTTCGGAGGGAGTGATGCACTATAGTGGGTTCTAATCTTCTGGTGTTCTATATCCCAGTGAAAGAAAGGGACAAGACACGTATTGTATTGTTTCCACTAAGGATAAAACAATGATGTCTCATCATATGGCTTGATGTTTTACTATCTACATTGTGTCGTCATGCTTATTGCAATGCTCTATTTCTTGTAAACATAATACTTTGAGATGCATGCTGGATAGCGGTTTTCGGGTGGAGTATTAGTTGTAGATGCAGTTGGATTAATGATCTACTTATCACAGACGTAATGCCTATATTAGATTATACCATGAATGATCATAGTCACAAATATAAATTTGGCAATTTAATCACTGCCCAACTTTAATTTGTTCACGACACCACACTTGTATGCTTGAGAGAGATGCCACTAGTGAACCTATGCCCCCTGGGTCTATTCTCCTTTACTAAAATCTTCGTTACAACTATTACTTTTTCTTTACCGTTTTACTTTGCTACCTAGTATGTCTACCAGTTGCACTTTAATCTTGTAACTAGTAAGACAAGGGGATCGACAACCCTCTTGTCAGGTTGGGACAAAGTTTGTTTTGTGTTTAGTGTGCAGGCACCGTTCACTTTGTTTGTTGGGAGAACTCCTTTGGGTTCAATAAACCTTGGTTCTCTTACCAAGGGAAATACTTACTGCTAGGTTACATCACCCTTACTCTTTGGGGATCCCAACCACTCTTATGAGAGAGCAAGCGTGGCCCAGGATGGAATCAACAAGGTGGTCCTTAGCCCAACCCTTCAGACCGGGAGTCGACATGGTGAGAGGCCCCCTAGACGGGACACTATCGCCGGGGCCATGGCGTCACCTTGCACACCATCAATTTGAACTGGTGTTGTGAGGTGGGGAGGGATGCTGTAACACCCTGAGTTTTGACTCTTTCTTCTTTTCCTTTTCTACATCTGATGTTTCATTTTCCTTTCTTCACGGGCTTCTTATAGAATTGACTTGCTTGGACTTAGCAAACTAAAAACACTTAAAATGGGGTTAACAAGTAGCCACCACCAGTGCCTAACCCTATGACCTTTCCCACTCATGTTACCCCTCCCTCTAATTTTCCCTTTGTGGTCTATTCTTTTTCAGAAAAGAATAAAAGCACCCTAGTGTTGGAAATATGCCCTAGAGGCAATAATATTTGTATTATTATATTTCCATATTCATAATTATAGAGTTTATATTCTATGCTATAGCTGCTATGATCCTGGAATATGCGATTGAATGGAAAACTCATATGCACGTGTGGATGATAAATGGTTAAATGAAAGGTTCCTAGTCTCACCTCTTGGACTAGCTCAAGTGTTGTTGATGACCATGTTTTCCGGATCTTAGGATATCATTAAGTGTAATGATGATCCTAAGACAACATTGAGATTATGACATTGGGAGAACGATCATATTGAACCGACCCAGTCTTGTTTGTTATGATTTGAGTTAACATCATATGCATTCAATTGTAATAACACGAAGTGTTAACATGTGATATTGCTCCTTAGACTATGAGAGTATCGTGGTCACTTCTTACCATACGGCGGGCTTTGAGGTTGCTCAAACGTCACCTGTAACACGGTGATCA